GTAGAGCCGCGGCGGCCGGAGCTGCGGGACCCGAGTCCGAGCGGTGACGGGGGGCTCCCTCCCCCCTTTCAGGGCTATAAACACATGACCAAAGGCTGCCGGTGCCTGGCACCAGGGACGGTGTCGTCACTGCGCCGGCACCCGGGGCTGTGAACACAGACCAGCCCCCTGTAGCCGGTGCCCGGCCTGCCTGGGCTCGTCCACGGTGCAGGGCCTTGTCCAGCCTGACACGCGGCCCCGGGGCTTTTGGACTTGCTGAGCTGGGGCCCCGGCCTGTCTCCCAGGGGTGGCCCCCCCCCCAGCACTGCCTGAGCTGGGGCACGACAGGTCTGTGGCCTCATCAGACTTGGTGCTTGGACCCGGGGGTGGGGCTCGGGGTTCCCTCCGCTGCTGCCTGAGCTGATGGGGCCGTGCCTTGGTGGTACCGTCCCGGGAGGGGGTGTCCTCTGGCCCCGCGCGGCTCCAGCGCTGCCTCTCCCTGCCCGGCCCTCGTGGGAGCACTGACGAGGCCGCCCAGGGCTCCAGGCAGATCCGGCACCACCCCCTCCCAGGCCCAGCTGTTGCCCCTCTGGCTGCCCCCAGCTGCAGCGGGGCTGGTGTTTCCCCCTGGCCCAGGCCTGAGGCGGAGGTGAGCTCAGTGCATGGTGCTGCTTGGAAGGAAATAAAGTGCTAGCGCAGGTCTGGGCTCACTGTCGTGGGGGCCGGCTCTGGGGCTGGGGGCCTGGCCCACGGTGCTGCAGCCGGGGTCCAGGGGGGGCCGACGTGGCTGCCAGCTGGGCCCTGCCAGGGTTCGCATCTGCTGCACGAGGCAAGGGAGGAGGGAGGAAGGTGGCGGCTGCAGCTGGGCCCTGCTGCCCAGTCCCGCACCTCCGCTTGGAGGCAGGCAGCGCCCTGAGCCCCCCTGGCTCTGCTGCCTGGTGGCTGCTGGGGGGCCCCAGCCCCAGGGCTGTGCCAGGACCCTCCGCAGCAGCTGGGGCAGTTCCTGCCACTTCTCCCCTCCAAGCCCTGCCTGGGGAAGCTGCCCACCAGGCTGGCGAGCACAAAGCAGGGGCAGACCCAGTGCCTTCCTGCCCCACAGAGATGGGGCAAGGGCGCCTAGGTCCCCCCCATCCAGCCCCTTGCAGGGGCAGCGGGAGCCTCCCCTGCTCTCCCCAACCCCACCCAGGGCCCGGGATGGGGATGAGGGGAGTCCCTGCCCACGCGCCCGAGCTGAGACCAAACACAGCAAACGGTCAGAGACGACGGGTTCAATCAGACGCGGCAGGTACAGACTGCGCGGCCCCCACCGCGGGCTGGCAGGAGCCCTGAGCGGCACCGCACCGCACCCCTCCCCACCGCCCAGCCCACGGCGCTTCCCAGGCGGCCGCGGGGACGCGCCGGCCCCTGTGCGACGTGAAAGCAGCCCCAGCGGGCGCTGGGCGCTCAGGGCGGCGCC